GAAGAAACGTTTCTGTTCGTTATAATGTTCTTCAGTTCATTTAAGTTACAAATTTCACTTGATATACTCAATCTTTCATTTGACAGAAGATTCCGACCGCTTGTATGAACTCAGATGTGATGAACATTATAGTTATGTACCTAGAAAAGAGAAATGCCCATACAAGTCTCGGTCAATTGTTAACGCATCATTTGGACAATCGAAGGTCCGATACGGGATGTGTCCTGCGAGATACATTTATGTCAAAGTGGTCAACATGAAAGATTTTATTGCATTTAAAAAGAAAAAAAAAGATAACACGACGTAATTTATTTTAAAATATATTAATATTTTTCTGCATTTTTACACGTTTTATTGCTTTTTCAGATTAAGTAAAATCTTAACTTGAGTAATTTGAGTGTAAAAATATCTTTTTATGTACAAATCCTCTGATACATCCCGAACGTTCCCGAAAGACGAGACATTCTGTAACGTATTTTTTTTCAAAAAGGAAATAGGTAATAAACGTAGATATATGAAATTATTTTAATTCATAAAAGAATGTACTTAAGTTTTTGAAACGTTTGATTTATTTAAAAAATAAATTGAATTATACAGTTCTTAGCTATTAAAAGCTCCATAATTCCAATAAGAATTACAAAAATAAAAATGATAAAAAAACTTTCGGCCATTCAAATAGGGATAAAGTAATAAGAGGTACAAAAGTAAAATCAATCATTAGTAAAAAAGCTTTATTTACATTTTGGGAGACAACAGTCACTGCAAAAATCAGAAAATCAGAAATGATCTATTTTCTTCAAATAACTATTCGATTTCTTCTGTAGTGATATTGTTAGGAAAATTTTCTAGATGAACGTTTCTAGCATTTTTCTCTTTTCTTTGTTTCATTATCTAAGTTCTTTTCAGAAAGATCTTTTCTTTAGAATTTAGAATTTTCTTCAACTCCAGAGTTTTCTCTAGTTTCTTTTCTTTAGGTGTTTCCGCAGTTTTAACAGGTGTTTTCACTTTTGCTTGCTCAACATACTTTACGTTTGCAAACTTTGCCTTGATTGATTCAGTTTGTTTTTCTCAAATGAGGATGAAATATTCATCTTCCAATCAAGAACCATATGTATGTTATCATATTTATCTTGTTGTAATCAGGGTATCAATAGCCGGAATGTTAAAGCAGGCTGCTGAGTCAAAATAATTAGTTCGATTTTAGGCGCTTACTATTAACTGCTCAAATTGTTCATGTTGTAGGGTTTATATTTATTTTAACTAACATTTATTTTAAGTTTAAACTATCTTTCCTGTTATCTTTCCCCTGGAATTGCCAATGCCAGAGTATGTAAATTTTAGTAGAACGCGCAAAGTATTCAAAATAGTCAGCGGAAGTATTCTGAGTTAAATAGAAGGGAAACGAGTTCGAAAGTGTGCTTTCTTGCTTCACGAGCGTGGAGGTGGCTAGTTAGAAATTGAAGAACCATGCGTTTCGGCCTGTGTGCTTGCCTCGTCAGATAGTTAAATCTTCCAACGTAATATTCAGAAGTTTGCTGAATTATCAGCGGTATCTTAGAGCGCGGTTAGGTTAGTTACGTTTAAAGAGCCTCGTAGGTAGTCACTTGTTATTATTCATTTTTAGTTTCTTATTTTTATTTTACCGCCGGGTCGGCGTAGTTTGTGAGCGTCAAGAGCACGCATCTGTAATTTCTAAAGTTGAATAAAAAGGGATTTAAACCCTTCTCAAGACTTTGTGTACTTTCCAGTAATTAGCAGTCACCACTATTGTTGCGTGCAGGTTGGAAGCGGGCAACATTGCAACGTGAACATTTTTAGCGCTACTTAACATGTATATTTTATTTTCCATTACAGAAAACATTAGGATATTAATTACATCAGTGCCAGCCACTAGTATCATTGCATACATTACTCAAAATATAACAGCACGCATCTGTAATTTATAAAGTTGAATAAAAAGGGATTTAAACCCTTCTCAAGACTTTGTGTACTTTCCAGTAATTAGCAGTCACCACTATTGTTGCGTGCAGGTTGGAAGCTCGCAACATTACAACGTGAACATTTTTAGCGCTACTTAACATATATATTTCATTTTCCATTACAGAAAACATTAGGATATTAATCACATCAGTGCCAGCCAATAGTATCATTGCATACATTACTCAAAATATAAGCATTAATGGTGATTGCACATTCATCAGTCAATATTTCATAAGTTAAAAAAAAAACATCTAGAAACAACTTTTTTTCCATCAATATCCAATAATGTTACATTATTAGAATTTAGTGACGCAGATCCAATTTCAGTATAAAATTTATAAATTATCACACTAATATCACTTTCTGTGCCTAATGCATAATGCATTTGTTCTTTTTTTTTTTTTTTTTTTTTTTTCCAATATTTCAATAAGCTTAAGGGTTATTTTAGAATACTTTTGGAACGATGCATAAAAGTTCTGTTGACTTCTTTCTGAAAGCATACGTTTGATTTAGGACCAAAACGTTTCGCTTTTACACCACCTTACATTCTTACAGTTAGCAGATTTATAAACACAATGGTGCGGAAATGTGTGAATTTGTGGCGAATGGTGAATGATAAAGATATCATACTAGTAAATAGCAGCTTACTCAAGTAGGATCCTGATCCACGCATGCCATGATGAGACACAGTTAAGCAAACCAAGAACGAGCACACAGAAGGTCTCCTAAGTAACGCATTTATTCAAAACTTAATATAAGACTGGGCTTAAATCAATTACAACGGTCCCCACCGTCGTTGTTTAAACTCTAAAGCTTAGTTCGGCCCGATGCTTCTCAGTTTTTAAGATAAATCGTAATTCTAGTAGCTTGAGCTCACCTGAGCCCTTAATAAAAAGAGCTCCACTTCACTATGAAAGTGAAAGCCAATTTCAGCAGAACTTTTTTTTATCTCGGAAATTTTTTTTAGTAACAAGTAAGCTTTAAATATAGATTCGAACTTCTGAATGCATGCCTGTCTTTCCATAGAAAACGAACGTTTGAACGGAGGTTGAGATTTTTAAGGAAAACAAATTCCCTACTCACATGTCAAAGGCACTGCAATTAGTTTCTGAGAGCGGTTAAAATTTTCGTTTCGTTAGAAGTAATCACCCTGTTCGTGCATGTCGAACGCTAGTGACCTACTACGAAAAAGAGCACCTGTAATTTTTTAAAGCAATATAACTAAATACGGGGCACAAAAATAGCTACTTTTACAGAAGCTTTTACTTTTGTTTACAGCTTATTAAACTTCTGATTCGGGAGGAAATGTTTTTCCTACTTGACAGCTAGAATGATACTGGCAGGGTGTCCGGAAAGTGATGGACTCTTCTCTTTATTATACACACACTTCCTAAAAAGGTCCTCCCATACTGTTTCTAGCATTCTCTCCATTTCCATCAGTGATTCTTTAAGCGCTTTCCTTTTTTAATTGCTGAGCTTAAAAAAGAACGAAAAATCCGGTATTTTATTATTTGATCACTTATGATTAATTTAAATAATTTATCAAATGTTTTATTTATCTATTTACATTTATTGAATTTTAATTATTTATATTTAATTTTTTTCCATATTAATTATTTTATTAGTTTTTTTTTTTTTTTTTAATTTTTGTTTCTGTTTTCTGGCGGCTTTAAAGAGGGCTCCGGTACTTCTAATTTTAGAAATTAAGTCCTGGTCTTTATTTTGTATTTTATACTGCTGAGTTTCATACTGTACACAAGAAACACACTTCACATAATATGTACAAGCTTGGCAAACTGATGGCAAGAAGAATTTTAATTTATGCATCATAATAAATGCAGTGTCGTTCTATGGCAAGAAATATCATATCAAGTGTCTTTCCAAGCAGCTGTTTAGCCTGTTTAACCCTTATATATGATAATTATGCACTCGATCCAAAGACGTTTGATTATAATATCTATCAGTTTTCACGCGCCTCACCAAAGTATAAATCCAGATATCTAACATTGTGCAAATAACTTTCTTCACTGATAAAGGGAACAAAAGTGTGCTATGTTAACAAACAAACAAACAAAGTGGGCTATAACGTATTAAATGTTACATGGTTACATCTAGGGCTCTAACCTCTATCCTATGATCCATGGCTCGTCACGATACTCAGATCAGAGATTTATGCAAACCATGTAGAATAGTTTAAAATAGAAAGTAATCTTAACCGTTAACGTACTCGAGCACATTCCGTGCCGTCTTGCCAGTCATTTTTTTTTTCAAAGATTTTAAAATACTGCTGAAAATATCTGGCTTCGTATGTGATAAGAAAGTTAATTCCACTCCAACATCCCCCCCCGGAAAGTGTTTTAGATTTTGTTAGGATACTATCGTAATCACATCGCAACTTTATCAAAAGGAAAGAAGTTTTCTGTTGGAAACTATAAGAAGGAGATCTGGATTTTAGCTATTATCAATTAAATATACGTTTTGTATTTTGGAGTTTGTTAAAAGTCTAAATCTCTTCAAAATCTTTTTGGAATTCTGTTGTGTATACAGTACTTAAAGCATAATAAAGAAAAATGTTTAAAATTTTCTAAACAAAATTCAGATTTAGTATTTTTTTTTTTTTTAATTTAAGGAACAGAAGAGTTTTTGCAGTAGCATACATGCCCTTTTATGATTAAATCACAGTCACGAAAATTTTTATTAAATGGGGAAATCCTATAAAAGAAGTAGCTGTTTTGTATAAATATTACATCTCATTTGCAAAAGTGGAAAAAAAAAAAAAAAAAAAAAAAAAAAAAAAAAAAAAATATCTTTTCGACCTTTAACTAAAATAAATTTCGTGAGAAAATAAGAAACCAACTGAAAAGCGCTGTCTAAAGCTCATTAAATTTTCGACTAATGATAGCACATCAGCGAAAAAGTGATCACTGGCATATTTCAAGACCATCCCCAAGCATACAGAAACAAGTTTCCTGACGTCACAGCTGCGTGCGCTGTTGCCAAACACGTGGTGAAAATGTATTTATATTCCTCCGCACTCCGTTCGCGACTGTCATTCAGCAAAGAGTTGCACGCAGTTGCTCGAAAAGATAAACCAACCGGCTCGTGCAGTCGGTTTCATAAATTCCTTAATATCTGAGAGTCTCTCGGAAACGGGTGAGTGATTTTTTTTTAATCCAAATCAATTGATGGAATCAGCTGAAACGCGACGTATATCCGTTTGCTGGCAAAACTGGCAGCCTGAGGCGGTATGTCAACAAATCTGAATTTTACTAAACGGATTATTCTGAGTTTATGTAGGTAGTAAACTTAGTTACCCGTAACGGACTGGTATCTCGTATTTAGTTTAAATGGAATATATATAGCATTAATGCTGTTTTGTATAAATATAAAAAAAACCTAGGAATCCCTAAAACCTTTTTTGAAGTAGCATAAAACATCATTTCATTTCTTTCGAACAAGAAGGCTCCCGCCCCTGCAAGATATTAAAAGGCAATCACAAATTAACTGAAATAATGTTGAAAATTAATCATAAAAATCAACTGCTATTACTCAATTTAGGTCTTAGATTAAAGAAATGAAAATAATCAATTTCATTTTTAAAAGATTTAAGACATGTCTTCGTAAAATGGTTGTACTTGGTATTTAGAAATTAATGAAGCTTAGACACAGTATTTGCATAGTATTTGGAGATGTATCGCATAATTTTAAGCTTTTTTGATTTAATTTAAATGAAAAGTATCCAAATATGAATTTACAAAATATAAAAGTGAGGAGACATGTTAATATAAAACAAAAGAGTTAATCATACACATGAAACATCAGCATAATCCTTACCAGGGTATAATCGTTTGGCAAACAATTTAATGTGTCATGTAGGTATCTCTATGTATCAATCAGTCTTGCCCGTTGTATAGGCACAAAAGGCCCTGCAGGTCCATCTACACAGCTAGTTCTATTATACATTATTATATAAATATAGCAAATGCCTTATATTTTATGCCTTATTTGTCGTGTCATGCCATTGTCATATTATTCATTGATTGTCATGTTATTCATTGTCCTGTCATGCCGTACCATTCATTTTCATGATAACAAATGTCTTATATTCATTGTCGACAGTAAAGAAAGTCATATTTAGACTAAAGTCATATTATTAGTCCTATTAGACAATTAGATTAGCCGTATTAGACAATTAGATTAGTCACATTAGACAATTTTATCATATTAAATAATTAGATTAGACACATTAGACAAATTAGTCATATTAGACAATTTATACTGGTCATTTGCGAAAGAGGTAATTGTGTTTACTGCGTATTTTAGCTTGAGAGTGAAAACATAATATTACATTTTATATTGACATAAAGAAGCTATATTTAAAATTTCTGTTAAGAAAAATAATTTTAAAAGTTCTGTACATTTAGGTACCCATTGAATAACGGGTAAGGTAAATGTTACCGTCTTACTAAAACGCAAGTTCCACAAATGAGTATTTAAATTAAGAGAAAATCAGTGAGAGACAGTTTTTTTAATATTTCTTTTGTCGCCTTTGTTACACACGTCATTGGTAATTAATTATTCGTATGCTGCGAAAAATAGAAAAGTGTTTTTCTTTTTCCATCATCTTAAGTTTAAATGCATTCATAAATTAAGGGAAACAGTTACACTTCAGTTATTGTTTGTTTGCTTTTTTCTTGACCTCTCCAAGTTCCAGTCTACGTTCTTTTGTATGAAATGGAAGTTTCTGGGGGTACAAAGTTTAAATGTTTTTGAATATTATCTTGCAAGTTTAAACACTAGAGAATTTAGTTAATAAACTTCGTGTATAAAATGAAAACGTGTTTTTTATTTCGTTATTTATAGTTTTGTATAAAGAGATAGAGCAGAGCGTTATAAAAAAGTTGATATACGTATGTGAATTCAGAATTCTAACATGTCCTGATTGTGTAAAACGATTTTTAGATTAATTAGGATTTTTTGGAAGCCGGAGACTTAAAAAATGAGCAATGCCCTCGCCTGCAATCGAACCACGGACCTCGGGAATACGCGCCCAGCGTGCAGACCACTACACTTCAAAGACATGCTAACAAGCCGGGAGAAATACCTTATATACTTGTGTGCAATAGACAGAACGCGGATATTGGAATTTCAGATTTTAAGTGTATTTACTGTATGATTATTAAGTAATAATAAACTTAAATTTTCATTGGTTAATTTTTGTTACATAATAAAACTTTTAAGTGAGTTAATGTTTTGACTATATTACTATAGCAGTATTTATTTTAATATCATTGGACACACGGGAAACGATTTATTCAACTAATAAAAAATTGTTAATGCATTTTATTTGAAAGAAAGTTATTCCATTTTTATATTTTATTAAGAAAATGCAATAATAAAAATTTTATTGTAATTGCTTTAATTTAACTACATTTTGCTTGATGTAAAATAATTTAAGTTTCCCTACAATTTTTTTCTACTAAAAAGTACAAGATAATCATTTCTTTGTGCCTATATTCGTACTATTCAGAAAATGCTTCCATACTAAAATGTTTTTACTAATTACTTTTACTAATATTACTCATTACTAAGATTACTTTACTAATATTAAATTACTTTTACTAATATTACTAAGATTTTATTATCAAAAAAAGAACTATCTGATTATTTTAAACGAGAGATTAGTGTGATGATTGATACCTTATGAGATAAAAAGTATGTAACGAAATTCTAATTTTCAGTAACATCTTAACTCTCCGTAACAATTTGGCTCTTTCCACTTTCTCTCCTAAAAACAGCAACTGCTTATAATAAACATCATTATTTTGCGTAATTTCAAAGTTAATAACTCTTATATCGTTTATACATAAAGCTCATGGCCCAGACAATTTACTCAAAGCTTCAGCCAATAATAATTTTAGAAGTTAAAATATTAAGTAGTCAAAATAAATCAAATTAAAACTAACTCATACGAGAGCGATAACTTAAATCACTTTGAACCTAGGTTTCATCTTGAACAAGGCACATTTCTACTATTACTTGCTGTCATGTTAACCCGCTTACTTCTCTTTTTCATATACCTTCGCATTGCCATAGTTGTAGAAGAGACAAAAGTGTGTGATCAAGACGGGCACACAGATAGCAGGCATTGCGATATATAATTCATATTAAGAAAGGTACCTCTCAAAAAATAAAGGAAAAATGTGTTAAATCATCATGATGGCTAATATTGGATACAAATACGCATTTATTCATCTGGATGCCATCAACATTTGCACAATTACAATATATTACTGTAATTTTATTCGTAGTATTTATTTTCAAGGTTAGAATGCCAATAGTGGTCGATCAAGAAGGTTAAACAGTACGTGCACTGGCCCCTTCAGCTTAATAGTTGTTCATTTAAATCAGAATGCTTTTAGCCGCATGGCTGACTTCACTCCGTACTCCACTTTCGTTGCCCTTTGCTATATACACAGCTTCCTGCATCCGGACGTGCGAGCAAAATTTGAATCACTGGCAGGGCTTAAACAAGCTGATAAGCGCCATCCCTCAGTAGACCAACTGCTGTGTCTGAGCAACGTAAAATAACCTAAAACAAGTCGAGTGGTTAAGACCTATAGACACATATGGTTTCGAGTGCAGAAGAATTAGCTGAATGCTGGGTTGGTTTCCGTGGTTTTTCTTTAAAATCCTCTTCCACTTAGGCAGATCAAACCTCTTCCACTTTCCTTGTGATTTTTGCCACATTCAAATAACCAGCATGTTTTCAAATCTGAACTTTGAATATTGCTATCAAACTCGCCCGTTATATATATATATTTTTAATAAAATGTTAGCATTTTGGCAAGCAATGAAATGAATTCATGCTAAATTCAAATAATGGCTTAGTGTTCAAAACTCAAGTTATTGAAGATTTTATAAAACCAGGCAACCTATTTAAAAAAATGCTTTTCAATATTCCAGCAAGCTAAAGCAATTATTTAATAAAAACATTTTAGTGTTTATAGAAAATATGTTCTGTGACTGAAATTATTAATATTTTGTTTAATTGACAATTTTACGTGTCATACGCATAATGATCACTCAATGGTGTATAAAATAGATTTTATTATTAGCAACTTAAGTAGCGAATTCAAAATATTCGTGCGTGTCGTTTGAAATAAATCTAACATTTTTTTAACGTACTTAACTGATTACTTAATTGTTATCTGCCGTAGACAGAGTCTTATTACTTTTGATATGAGCAGAGGAAGTCCGTATTGGTGTTAGAGAGGAAACAGGAAACGAAACTTTCCATCTCCCAGCCTTTAAAAGCATCTGCTGTTACCGTGCATGCAGTTCGCTTAGTTTTGATTTATATCTTAATTTGATTCTGGCTCCAAAATAAAATACGTCTTGCAAACCGTAGGAAAATACGTTCTTATTTTCGACTTAAAGGGAAGAGGAATAATATTTTAATTTGTTTAAATATTGTAAAAATACTTATGCGTCATTATAATTCAGATTTTTATCTTAATGTAATTTCACCAATTTATAAACTTCAGAATGCAAAAATTCATTTTAAAATATGTTGTTTAAGAATTTACGCAATTCAATTTATGTTCTTATGCGATCTGATTAATGATGAAATGTCATGCAGTTCTAGTATGAGAGCAAGTACTACTTAGAATTAGTAATCCAAAAGAATTAATTTTGTGTTAAAAAATTTGCATTTTTTAAAAATGCTTTGAATGTTTTTTTCCCTCAAAGAGTATACGTTTTGTTCAAAAACAGACATTTTTCATATGTATCATAAATGTAAACCAGTATCTTTTCGTGGAGTTAAGAAAAAACTCCACGAAAGCATTCCTCCCATAAGCAAATTACCCTAGCATGCTTTGCCATAATACTATAAATTCAATCAAGTTTAAATATTTCTTGCTTTCTCAAAAACTATTTCTTTTTAAACCCTATTCGAAAAATTTCTAGTTTGTTGAATAGCCATTATACTGTTATCAATGTAGTATTCTTTAAATAACAGATAAATCAAAGCTTCTCAACCAAGGGGGAGTTTCATAGCTTCAGGGAGAGAATGTTAAGTACTCAGTTTTAGTTTATGATTATAAAAAAAATATTTTTATTCAAGTTTCGGTATTTGCCTACATTTTCTA